GATGCCAGTAGAAAAGGCAGCAGGAAGACACCCCACCGTTTAGTCAAGTTCAAAATTAAAAGCTACAATAATGAATTGGCATTTCGAGATTTTTCACAGTACTTGAAATACGAACTTTTAATGAACAACTGCAATGCCCATTGATCAAGTCATAATACTTTATATTTACTAATTTCCCTGGGGTGGGGTTCAGAAGCTCTGCTGAGGCTTTTACTGATTCTCATTAAATTGATTTGACAGCAAAGAAATGTTTAGGAAAACCCACTAAGTTGTATGACTAGCTGGCAATCAATAGCGACAAGAATACTTAGGAAAATCGGAGAGTGCCCGTCCACCCGGCGGCTGCCTCGCCTGTGGCGTGCCCGGCCCAGAGGAGAGGAGGGGCTGAGACAGACACCAGCTGCTCCTCAGAGCTCACTGTCACTGACTGCCTCAACCACAATTATACTTTTTCCAAGTTCCAGGTGTTTTACTGTCTGCCCAGAGGCTCCACGAGCCCTTGCATATTTTCACATCAGCACTTGTGTCCTTTAGGGTTTTCACTGGAGAAAGATGCTTCACACCTTTCACAAAGATTTAGTAACATCTGAATGAACTTGACAAAATACCAAGGTTACCATGACTTAAAAATACCAAAACAAATGCCTGTCAGGCCAATGTTTACTTCCAAATCAGACGTGTTCACCGCGGCACGGTGGCGAGGGCGGCACGGTCCAGGGGGTGCCGTCCATGCATGAGGCTCGCCTGAGAGGCCCAGCCCCCCGCAGCACCGCCGAACCGGAGAGGGGGCCCTGGCCATGGACACCAGGGGCAAGAAACCAAGCAGCTGGGGGCGAGTTCCTGCCCCAGACCCAAGCTGAAGGCGCTCCTGGGTGCACAGCGGGGTCTCGGGAGGGAAGACAACAGAAAGTGGTGGAAGCTCTGAGTGGGAGAAGAACAGAGAGAGAGAGTCGCAGGTACATGGGTCTCAGATTACCAAGTGCAAGGGAAACAGCACTAACGTACAATGGCCTCAAAGATGCGTTTGGTGGAGAAGCGTGACAAGCAAGCCACTACCTGTGTAAAATGAAAGAAACAATTTGAGCCAGGCACAGGGCTCAGGCCTATAGTCCCAGTACTTTGGGAGACCGAGGCAAGAGGATTGCTTGAGGTCAAGAGTTCAAGACTAGTCTGGGCAACATAGCAAGACCCCATCTCTACAAAATAAAATAAAATAATTAGCTGGGTATGGTGGCGCACACCTGTAGTCCTAGCTACGCAGAGGCTGAGGCGGGAGGATCACTTGAACTCAGAGGGTAGAGGCCGCAGTGAGCTACCATGGTGCCTGAGCAACACAGCAAGACCCCATCTCTAAAAACAAAACAGCCGGGCGCGGTCGCTCATGCCTGTAATCCCAGCCCTTCTGGAGGCCGAGGAGGGCGGATCACAAGGTCAGGAGATCGAGACCAGACTCGCCAACATGGTGAAACCCCATCTCTACTAAAATACAAAAAATTAGCCGGGTGTGGTGGTGCGCGCCTGTAGTCCCAGCTACTCAGGAGGCTGCGGCAGAGGAATGGTTTGAACCCAGGAGACGGAGATCACAGTGAGCCGAGACCCCGCCACTGCACTCCAGGCTGGTGACAGAGCAAGACTCCATCTCAGAAACAAACCAAGAAAACTTCTGTACCCTTGGCCGGGCGCGGTGGCTCAAGCCTGTAATCCCAGCACTTTGGGAGGCCCAGACGGGCGGATCACGAGGTCAGGAGATCGAGACCATCCTGGCTAACACGGTGAAACCCCGTCTCTACTAAAAAATACAAAAAAAAAAGCTAG